ATTGTTGGTACCTAAGGTCTATTCACAAGAAATACACTGTGAATTATGAAAACTTTTCAAAGTTATGGCCAAGGATAAAGTCAAAGGAGGTCAAACTCCAAGGTCAAAATGTTAAAACTGGTTAGACCAAAGGCAAGGTCTTGTCACAAGAATACACCTGTAAAATAATGTTTTACAATGTGAACATTTGAGTCAGTGCAGATTTACACATTCCAGTTACACTTGAATCTTTGATTCAGGATCCAACTCTTTAAACTGGGATGTCACCTGATGTGTATTTAAGTTGCATGTCTGTAACAATAAAAATTAGCAAAATTTCAAAAAAAGTGGAACTAACTAAAGGTCAAATTGACAAATTGTCAAATGTGTTGGTACCCAAAGAAAGGTCTTGTGACAAGAAATGCATGGTATGGGCCTCCATGCAAGTTTGTTCCTGGTATTCAGGTATTGAAAGGAATGAAGCTGCTCCAAAACCTTTCACCTGGTCCTTTATCTGGAAAATAAAGGTCAGATCGATCAGCATCTCAAGCAACTCTGTTAGAATGCATCCCAGGCTAATGCACCATTCACACGTTTGGTCACCAAAGGACTTGTTGCTTGGGAAAGTTCAAGTTTCAAATGTAATACTCTCAGACAAAAGGCCCACAGGTCTCAATGGTTGGAGTGGTGTGAATAATCAAAGGGGAAGAACTACACTCAAACTAGAGTGACAAAGTTTTGCCTACATAATTTAAAAAATATGTCCACATGATGAAATGCCACATGAAGGAATGAAAATGGATGTAATATGAAGAAAATAAATCTTGCTCCTTTGTTTAAAATTAGAGTTTATGAATAAAAAAGTCTCCACTTGTATTAATAGTTTATAAAGTTTTGTGAAATTAACTTGAATACTTTGAAACGGGGATTAATCTTAAAAATACAACAAATAGTACAGTCAAAGGTCATAAGGAAAGTCAAGGTAAAAAAAGTGTACACAGTTTATCAGTTCTTACTGATATGTATTAATACTGTAAACCAACTTTTATTCGCGTGCGAGAAATTTTCGCGAAGTTCGCGAGAGCCTCGTCATCGCGATTTTTCCTCGCCACGAACCGGTCCTTAAAGTGTATGTGTCTATTAACAACAGATCCAACAAGAGGCCCAGGGGGTCATGGTTTGAACAAACTAGAATCTACACTACCTGAGGATGATTCCACAAGAGTTTCATCTTTCCTGGCCCAGTGGTTCTTCAGAAGGTTTTTAAAGATTTTTCCTATATATTCCTATTTAAAACTTCGATCGGCCATTTTGGCCCCACCCTACCCCCAGGGGTAATAATTTAAACAAACTTGAATCTATACTACCTGAGGATGATCCCACATGAGTTTCATCTTTCCTGGCCCAGTGGTTCTTCAGAAGATTTATAAAGATTTTTCCTATATATTCCTACGTAAAACTTTGATCAGCTGTTTTGGCCTCACCCTACCCCCCGGGGGTCATGATTTGAACAAATTTGAATCTACACTAGCTAAGGATGATTCCACATGAGTTTCATCTCTCCTGGCCCAGTGGTTCTTCAGAAGACAGACTTGTTTACCCATAACGTTGTCTCTCAGTATTTTTCTTTAGATTTGTCCGTGAGATTTGGCATTTGCCAGTAAGATTTCATTTTCCATCAATTTTACATATATTAAATGAGAAAAACTGCTTTTCTGATTACAAAAACATGGTTTAACAACAAGGTCTTTGTCATTTAAGAATACCACAGCGTTTTGGCAACCTGACATCGCTTATGTGTTTGAAATCTTTCTCTTATTTAGCGATAAATAGAGTAAATCTACATCAGATCATAACGAAAACTAACTCTTAAATTCCAAACTAACTTATTTCTGATTTCCGTATTTTCATAATGGCAAAACGTGAGACGTATTTTAGACTAAAAATCCGTAAAAAATACGGCGAAATCGTAAGAGTAAACAGGTCTGAGAAGAAGATTTTTCAAGATTTTTCCTATATATTCCTATGTAAAACTTTGATCGGCCATTTTGGCCCCACCCTATCCCCGAGGGTCATGATTTGAACAAACTTGAATCTACACTACCTGAGGATGATTCCACATAAGTTTCATCTTTCCTGGCCCAGTGGTTCTTGAGAAGAAGATTTTTTAAAAATGCCATTAATTTTTCTCTAATTCATGATTATCTCCCCTTGGAAAAGGGTGTGGCCCTTCATTTGAACAAATTTGAATCCCCTTGACACCCAAGGATACTTGTGGCAAGTTTGGTTGAAATTGGCCAAGTGGTTCTTGAGAAGAAGATGAAAATGTGAAAAGTTTACGACGACGACGACAACAACGACAATGGCTACAACGACAGACAACGGACAAATTTTGATCAGAAAAGCTCACTTGAGCCTTCGGCTCAGGTGAGCTAAAAAGGCTTGGTCATGAAAATTAACCATCGCGAACTTGTTCATCCCAGTTAAATCGCCAAATAAAGTTGTCGCCAATAAAAGTTGATTTACAGTATATGCCCTTGGAAGAAAATTTCTTGCATAGCTTCCTTGAAATTGAGATTACACAAATTAAATGATATTCTACTATGATTATGGCCAAGATTAAAGAACTGCCATGGAATTATTCTCAAATAAATCACAAACGTCATCAAAAAATTATCAGATCAGAAACATGTATCAAAGCTGTGCAGTTGAAATGTACATTTGACTTCAGAATGAAATCTAAACAGTGTAGGTTTCTAAAGCTAAGCGGGGCTGTTTCACCGACCTCCCTACTCCATATTTAAACCCTGTGATGTTGGTGGTATAAAAAGAGATTGATTTTATTATATATTCAAAAAGATTAATCTATCAAAGCTAAAAACAGATTTATAATTAATAAAAGGCTAATTTTAATGCAGCAAAAGCACAAATCATCTACATTCTATTCATAGGTAAGCAAACAAATTTACACTCTGGTGCTAAATGGAACAGCTTTATTGCAGCAAGGTGACCTAATTCATCTCTCTATAGAGAAACAATCAGCCATATTCTAGAGCATCTTAGTAGAATAGAAATAAAGTCCGCGTTTTCATGAATGTTGTAGAATAACCTCTGAGGTTGAGAAACGTTGTTTGAAATATAAAAGCCTCGGCTTTTATCTTTCAAAAAACATTTCTCAACCTCGTAGGTTATTCAACAACATTCACGAAATTGCGGACTTTATTTCTTAAGCAATATGCCAAGGTCAAAAATCTTTGATGCAGTCGAATAGTTCTCATCAAAATGTTTAAGTACATATATACTGGTTTTAAAAAAAAGATCAACCGATTAGAATTTCATCAACAGACTAGAATTTTAATTGGTACCTGAACTGAATATTAAGTCATCTTAATACTTTTAAATATCTGATATTCATGCACTTTATGGACAATATCTCATTATCATCCTTGACCGTAATTTTAAGTTTCTATGCACCCAGTCGATGAGACTATTTTCTGAATTAAACATCATTGTGTGCCCTGCATATGTGATCTACAACAAAGCAACTAGATAATTAAAGTTCTTCATTTTTTGTTACTTTAAACACCCATTGTTTATAACATACCCTAAATAAGGCTGTTATAAATAACAAAAAAAAAAAGCTTTTTCAGGGAACATACGAGTAGTTTATATTTGTATAGCCTTAAATGCTCAGAATACTCCTGTAGGATTAAGATAAGAGGTGCATACTGCCAAAATCCTCAACACATCATGTACACCACATAAATGTGAAACTGGAAACCTTCTCTTTACTTCTCAGGTATTTAAGAATACTTGTACTTTAATAATGCACCATTACTTATCAAAATTTAAGTATTAATCTGACTAAATAGTTATAAATGTATAAAAAATGTCATATTTCTAACTTTTATATTGACAGAACCTTAATTTGTTACATTAATCATATTTTAATTATATCATTTATGCTGTAAGTATTACATCAAGGTTACAGATGACCAGTCATTTTTGAATTAAAAATTATCATTGATCTACATGGGTTGAATTAATTTTTTCGAAAAGTATTGAATATTAGCCTGTATGTGTTTCTGCCAAGACAATATAGCTTTAATATGTACTCAATACTTTAGTATTTTGTGAGAATTCTACCTACCTACCTACCTACCAAAAGGTCCAAATGAATGAACGGAATGTTCATCATTTGGACCTTTCGGTAGGTAGGTAGGTAGATGAATATTTCTCTTGAAACCTGATCTGTAGCAATTAAATTACCATCAAAATTTTAAAGACTATTTTAATAAGAAATTTCTATCATTTAACATATAACTATTATTATTGACCTCAAATTAATTCAGTAAGGAACAAGAGATGTTTATAAGACACTTATGCCCCCCTCCCCCAAATAATTGAAAGTTTTCTAAGTCCAAGGGACATAACTCTGTCAAAAATGGCTTGATCGTACCCAAAACAGAATTTTACGTACTAGATATTTTTATGAAAAATCTGTATACTGAATTTCATTACAGTATGTGCAACTGCTGCAAAGAAAATGAAAAAAATCTGCAAATAATTGGGAATTTTCTGAGTCCAAGGAGCATAACTCTGTCCAATATGGCCTGATCGTACACAAAACAGAATTTGACTTAGATATTAATCTGTATACCAAATTTCATTTCAATATGTGCAAACTCTGCGAAGAAAATAAAAGGAAACTGATGGTGGACCGACAGACATGTATTTTAATTTTGAGGAGAAACCATTCACAGTACAAAAATACTAAAATATTGAGTACATATTAAAGCTATACTGTATTACATATTTTTTTTTTCTACCAGAAATTCTCTAGAACCATTTCCTGTATGTCTCTATTCATTAGAAATCATGAAATTTTAATTACTTCTTTAAATGATGTTTGTCCATAAAAAGAAGTTGCATTCTGGAACACTTTTTTTGCCACACGTTAAAAACATCAGTGCTGTTTGCAATGATAGACTACTTTATAGAGTTGAATCTTTTGGTCTCTGTTTTCAGAAATGAATGATTTTAAAATGGCTGGCAAGCAGAGAACCTTACCATTCACCTCTCCACGAAGAGAAACAAGAGCTGGCAGGGTGACGGAAAGAGATGCTAAATTGAGGCTAGAGGATAATGAGAGAGTTAATCATACTTCTGTGTCACATGACAAGTTAGAGAGACAGTCTACCATGCTCAAGTCCAGTCTAAACAGTTCCACAGTCAGAAGGCGACCGAACAAGAAGCCAAATCAAACCATAGCATCCAGTCAGAAGCTGAATCAGTTAATAATAGGAAGACCAAACATGACTGACAACAAAGTCAAAGACACCGACTCTTGTTTGAGACAACTGGAAGATCTATACAGCCAGGCTGAACAGGTCTTAGGCTGTACAAAGGAAGAAGGCCTCTGTTTTGTAGAAGTTTTCAGAAGACTGTTGGAAGGATATGATGCCAAAAGCTCTAGGATAGAAGGATTGCTGGTGGAAAAGGCAGACCTTTCAAAGAGAGTCATGGACCAAGAGGAGCGAATAGAAGAAAATTCAGAGTACTATAAAAAAGAACAAGCCAAATTTAAAAATCAAATAGATCAGAAAGATGTGGAAAATCAAAGACTGGATGATACAATTACAAAGCTTAAAGGAGAGAAAACTGAACTATTTCAAAAATTAAATAGACTACAGGAACAGCTAGAGGAAGCAGCCATTAAACCACAAAAATCCTACTGCCAGGAATGCAGAACAGAAATCCTGGAACCTGTCTTTTCCTTAGAGTCAAAAGATGTGACTGAATTTGAAAAGGAAATTGGTCAAAATAGTATATCTTCCAAAATGAAAAATCTAGATAGATGTCATTCAGAAGAAACTCCATCTAGGAACTTTGTAGTAAGAAAGCCCACTAAAAGTGATAGTGAGACATTAATCAAATCAGAACTACCAGATTCTGGTCCTCCCTCCCCCAGGCACGATTTCTTATGTGATTCATCACAGTCCACACCCAGATCATCAGTAAAATTAACTGAAACTGAAATATCTGGACGAGACCATTCAGACCCTGTAGCCAGTATCTTACTCAGACCTTCAGTCCAACATAGGGATCTTCAGGTTGATAATCTACAATCCACGACAGAAATGTTTTGTAGATCCAGTTCCCGACACCACTACCTCCGCAGTAATACAGAGATTTCATCCTCCAGCTCCTACTTCAGCTTTGCTAATCAGTCCGAGTACAGCGGGCCTGGACTCTGGTCAAGAGAGAGCAGTTCATTGTCATTTGCTAACAGTACATACTCAGAGTAGCTAGCACTGTCTAGCAGTATATACTCAGAGTAGCCAGTATTAGCTTAATATAAACACAGTCATCAAAGAGTTTTCAAAATTATACATTTTCATGAAGTTTTTCCTGATTTCAGTATAAACAAGAACACTTCTATAAACCATCTATATAATTTATCTAAAATCACACGACCAGATCATTTATTACATGGTTGTAACTGGAAATGCTTTATCTTCTATAAAAACTGTCTACTGGAGTGTCAATCAATAAATGTCGCCACATACCCTCTGAGTCAATTTCATTATACCCCCCGCTTGAAAAGCGGGAGGGTATATAGTAATTGTTAATTCCGTCCGTCTGTACGTCTGTCCGTCCGTCTGTTACGCTTTGGGGTACCCATCTCTTATCCGCAACTCCTCTCATACCACTAAATGAAATTTGATGAAACTTTCACAGAATCTTTATTACATATTGCCATAGTGCACCTCCTATTTTACTTTTTGATCCGACACATATTTTGGGTTTCCCGGCCACAGCAAAACATGGACTTTGCCATTATAACTATATGGAGGCGGGGGGTATCATTTATTTAATATACTGTAAATTCACATATTTTTGTGGGGTAAATTTTCATGGTTTGAGGAAAAAATATGGGTTCTTGGGGATTTAATTCAGGGGTTCAAAACTTTTTTTGTCATGGTCAAGTCCAGGACTTGAGGAGTAAATTTTAGGCAAGTCCGAGAAAGAAATTTCAGAGTCCATATTTACCTATACATCATTAAATTTATGTAACTTATAATTTATTTTCATTTGTTGCATTGAATGAATAAAGACTATTAATATAGGTTTTATTTGTCCTCCATAAACTGTCATATAGTCATACATGAGTATTTCAACACAATACCAGACTGATAGAATATACATTACAATAACTTTTACAAATACTCACGACTGAATAAACCATGTTACAATAAATAGAAATTGGAATGTGCTGTAAGTCACAGCTAAAACCGAAATTTAACAAACTCATTGCCGTTTGTCATATAGGAGGAAACATGAGGAATTGCGTAAAAGCAAGAGTCTAATCGCAATGGAAAATAAAAAGACGGATTGTATTTTCGAAACGTTCGTAATGTTTTATGGGTATTTTAACGCTCACAAACCCACATTTTTACTTAATACATTTGAGAATTTGCTTTATTTTTAGCATTACGATCATTTTTTAACTTATAAAAAAAGATAAACAAGAAACATAGCCAAGTCCCAGGACTTTGGCGAATTCTAAATGCCGAGTCCGGATCCGGAATTTGTTAGTCCAGGACGTCGGACTTGAGGATTTTTGAACCCCTGTTAATTTTGCGGATGAAGAATTGTTGAATAGTAATATTATGTGAAAAATTACATTTCATGGTGGACTTAAATTTGTGGGTCTCTTCATACCTAGAAAACCATGAAAATTAACACCCACGAAAATTAGTGATTTCACAGTACTTGGAAACCACAAAATGTACAGATTTTATATTTATATTCCGTCCGTCCGTCCGTCTGTTACGCTTTGGGGTACCCATCTCTTATCCACAACTCCTCTCATACTACTGAAGGAAATTTAATGAAACTTTCACAGATTCTTAATTACATATTGCCATTGTGCACCTCCTATTTTACTTTTTGATCTGACATATATTTTTGATTTTCCAGAGCAAAACATGGACACTGCCATTATATTCATATGGGGGGGGGGGGGGGTATCATTTAGTGAGCTCATTGCTCATAGTACCTCTAGTTTGAATATGTATTGCTTGGTACTCTGGCATTTGTAATTACACTGTTCATCAACCTCATGATCCATAAAATTGACCTTTGACCTACTTATAAAAAAAGATTCATTTTGCCAATATTCAGAATATTTCTTACATCTAAGAGGTAAATCTATGCTATTTAATAAGTGCACTGTTTGCCAGAAAACATGAAAAAAATTTCAGAGTTGCCATCAACTAGATCTTAACCTTTGTGCTAATTATCAACAAGAGGCCCATGGGCCACATCGCTCACATGAGAAGCTTTGACAATTCTGTTCTTTACTAGATTTCCCCCTTGTAATACATATTGTGACCCCACCCTACCCCACTAATCATAATTTAGACAATTTGAAATCTACACTACCCCAGGATGCTTCCACATAAGTTTCAGCTTTTCTGGCCCAGTAGATTTTCAAAGATTTTTCCTATATATTTCTATGTAAAACTTTGATTCCCCATTGTGGCCCCGTCCTACCCCCGGGGGTCATGATTTGAACAATTTTGAATCTATATACACCTCTCAAGGATGCTTTCACATAAGTTTCAGCTTTTCTGGCCCAGTGGTTCTTGAGAAGAAGATTTTCAAATATTTTTCCTATATATTTCTATGTAAAACTTTGATTCCCCATTGTGGCCCCGCCCAATCCCCGGGGGTCATGATTTTAACAATTTTGAATCTACACTACCCCAGGATGCTTTCACATAAGTTTCAGCTTTTCTGGCCCAGTGGTTATTAAGAAGAAGATTTTCAAAGATTTTTCCTATATATTTCTATGTAAAACTTTAATTCCCCATTGTGGCCCCGCCCAATCCCCAGGGGTCATGATTTGAACAATTTAGAATCTACACTACCCAAAGATGCTTTCACATAAGTTTCAGCTTTTCTGGCCCAGTGGTTATTAAGAAGAAGATTTTCAAAGATTTTTCCTATATATTTCTATGTAAAACTTTGATTCCCCATTGTGGCCCCGCCCAATCCCCGGGGGTCATGATTTGAACAATTTAGAATCTACACTACCCCAGGATGCTTTCACTTAAGTTTCAGCTTTTCTGGCCCAGTGGGTCTTGAGAAGATTTTTAAAGATTTTTCCAATATTTTTCTATGTAAAACTTTGATTCCCCATTGTGGCCCCGCCCAATCCCCGGGGGTCATGATTTTAACAATTTAAAATCTACACTACCCCAGGTTGCTTCCACATACGTTTCAGCTTTTCTGGCCCAGTGGTTCTTGAGAAGAAGATTTTTTAATGACCCAACCCTATTTTTGTCTTTTCTTGATTATCTCCCCTTGTGAAGGGATTTGGCCCTTCATTTTAACAATTTAAATTTCCCTTTATATAAGCATGCTTTGTACCAAGTTTGGTCAAAATTGGCCCAGTAGTTCTTGAGAAGAAGTGGAAAATGTGAAAAGTTTACGGACGGACAGACGGACGGACGGACAACGGACACAATGTGATCAGAAAAGCTCACTTGAGCCTTCGGCTCAGGTGAGCTAAAAATGTTCTGGACATTCAGTGATTTTATTTGTGTCCTTCGACACAAAAGATCGTTGAAGCTGTCTGTATTTTAATCAGTATGGCAGCAGCTGTATAAATTTTAACCATTAAGTGGTGTTTGCTGCTATATAAAGAACTATAAGTGGAATATAGCATTTTTTGCCCCCCCCCCCCCCCAATCAAGTAAGCAGGCTCTGAAAACATTAAGTCTCTTAAATGTTGCTATGTCAGTGGGCAGAGCATTCCAGTCCCTGATGGTCCTGGGGTAGAAGGATCCCATATGAACTTGGGTGTCACTGGATGGTATGTGCAAAGAATGCCCTCCCATGTTACAGCTGAGTCTTGATGGTGGCACTAGTTTGCCTGATGTTTCAATTCTGACTAGTACCTTGTGGATCTTATATAGAAGGATTAACCTGGCCCTCTTTCTACACTCCTCCAGTGTTTCCCAATGCAGGGTGTCCAGCATATCTGTGACCGACGAGGTGTTGTGGTATCAGTTAGTAACATACATGGCTGTCCTGCATTGGACCATCTCAATCTTATATATATATCATCTTTCATGTATGGGTCCCAGGTAGTACAAGCATACTCTAGGGCAGGTCTTACGAGTGACTTGTAGGCTTTCTCTTTGATGTTTGCATTTCTTATGTTCAAGTTACGTTTTAGAAAGCTAATGGTTATTATATTTATTGTTAGCTTTCTTGCAGATAGTGGATATATGATGGTTCCATTTCATATCTGATGTAATTGATACACCTAGATATTTTGCTAAACATATCTTTGGTGTCAAATTACAGAATAGGTATTTCTAATAAATTGCATCTTACGCAACCAGATCGAGATTCTTCGAAAAAAAAAATTTATAAGAGTTTCTTCTTATTAAGTTATAGCAAGTTTTGTAAAAATCTGACACTGACAATTATAGTTTCTATGCATTGACAAGAAAGAATTATCCAATGCTCTTCTTTTGAAATGATTCAATAGTCAATATTAGCAGTATCAAACAATAAAATAAAACCATTTTAAGGGTTTTTAAATTTTCCTATAGAAGTACCTGGTAGGTGCCTTAATGCATCTCTTCTACAGATATTGCATTAACAAGGTATGTTCAATTGCAGTTTTAAATCTCTTCAATTGGACTGCCTATCTTTATAAATCTTGAAATGAGAAAGGATTGGTGTTTAAATATTCAATTTTAAATGATGACAACTGGATATTATACAGAAAAATTAATACTGTCTGTTCAGGTTTTTCCATTGAGTGGACTACACGACAGCGGTGCCGTGTTCTATAGTAAATTTGTGGAGACGTGCAATGGTTACATCGTACAATCTCTCTGTCTGTCTAGCGAACAGAAAATGTGACATTGATCTCCTAGGACACCTATAAGATTTCTAAACCCGATAACAGAATCATACTTATAGGCTGGAAAATTGGATGTTTATTTTTTTTTTTAAAGTGGACAATAAATGAGGACTAACTATCCTGGAAAGCAAGTAAACATTAAACAATTTTTGGACCAAATACCTTAATATTGGATATGCTAACTTCTAATTTTAGAAGGTAAGCCAATTTATCTTTGAATTATGTAATTTTGAAAGTTTAAGCTAGTGTTTTTATAAAGTCTCCAAAATTTAGAATCAAGGGATTAATGGTGCTAAATAAGATACTGAGAAATCTGCAATGCATAGATATTCTAAGGATATTTTATTCATACCCACAAAATTACTTGTAAAATGATCAGGCTAAGCTAAAAAAAATAATTCTCCTCTTGCTGCTTAGCGTTCCTCATTATATGAACTCTTTATAGGCATGAAAAAAAATTATATGCATGGATTTACATGACAGTAGTATTTATTTCATAAGTAATAGTAAATATTTGTTGAGAAATTTAGTGCCAAGGATTTATAATATGTCAACGAAAATATTTCATTTTTGCATAATTATCAATTTCTGTAGTCTCTATCTACTGATTTTGTTCTAACTTATACAGATTAAATACAGAATTTGACCAAACACTCTGAATGGCACAGAACCAGACAAAGAGAGGCAAAAACTCCAAGTCAAGTCCCAGTGACAAGGAGATTGCCAGCAAAGGAGAGGCTACAAAGAGTGAAAATGATCAGGATCCACACCCAACAGATTCCAGCAGGAAAGTCACAGAGAAGGGGAAAACTTCTGAGAATTCAACAAAGAAATCATTGGAACAATCTAGAACATCCCTAGATTTAACCAAGAAACATTCGGACCAGGCCAAAAATCAAGGAGAAACAGCCAAGGGCACAAAACCAAAAACAAGCTCAACCAAAAAAGTTTTAAAAATAGAGAGGAATCATAGTGAAGCCAAAAAGATTCTGTGTCAAATGAACAGTCAGCTCACAGAACTTCTACTGGGCCGGCCTAGTTTAACAGAGAGTCCGACAGACTTAACGCGAAGGTCACTGAGTGCTATACAGACCTTGACCAAGGACATTGGGTCTGTTCTCGACACGTCAAGTAAGAAATCGAGTTTTCTTGAGGACATAGGACATCTCTTGCAGGAAATTTCTCAAATCAAGCAAATGCTACATAAATGTGAGTCTAATTTAAGAAGTGAAAAAGAACTAGTGAAGTTCCACACCAACAGAGCCAGAACATTTCAGAACGAAATTGAGAAACTGAAGGTGGAGAAAAAGCAAGTAGCTGACAAAAATAAGGAATTGGAAGATACAATAATGGAGTTGGAAAGTAAATTCATGCAAACAAGGTTAAGTCATCAAAATGCCATAAAAATACATACTGAAAAGCAGGCAGGTCTGCAGGACAAGGTCAATAAATATGAATTCTCATTATCGTCATTGGAGGAAAAGAATTCAGAGCTTACCACGGACAATCAGAGTCTGAAAGACAAAATTCTGGAGTTAGAACAAAGAAATAAAGCCCTAGAAAAGAAGTGTCAGGGGTACCATAAAGACATCGAGAAAGTTAATCATAAAAACAAACACCTGGAAAACAAAAACAGGAAACTCCAGACCGAAGCCGATATGATGAACGTTCGAAACATAGAATTAAAAAATAAGAACAAATCAATTGTAAAAGAATCAAATCATTCTGAGGAGAAAATCAAAGACTTGGAAGAAAAAGTCCATAATTTATCATCTGAACTAGAAACTTGTTACACTGAAAATGATGGGCTTAGGGATCAAATTCATCACCTAAAATTAAAGCTTTCTGAATATGAAGATGAGTCTGATGTGTTAATAGAGGATTACACTCAGGTATTGAAGGAGAGAGGTGAAATATACAGGAGGCGATTGTCTGGATCGTTTACTCCATCAGCATTACACAAACTGCGGAGGGATGATAGTGAACACTCCCTGATCAGTTGTGCCAACAGTGGACTAAGTTCTACCCTAGAGAGTCAGGGTAGAGTCTCGGCCGCCGCTAGGCCACGCTCAGAACTCTCTGATGTCAGCTTCGCAAACAGTTCCCACTCAGATGAAGTGCCGAGGTGAAATAGGAAGTGATGATAAGTAGACTTCTTAAGGACTGATATAAAATCAAGCAGACCATCAATGTATTGAATTTCAACAAGTTGTGACACCTGGATGTAATGATTTTGATCTCGATTACAAAGTCTGTATTTACTTACTGCCACAAATACTCAAGTGTTAAAATTCAATAAAACTGTTGATAATAGATGTCCAAATATTGCTTGTCAAATCTTTTTTCAAATAAATAATGCAATGTAAGATAATCACCCCTCTTAAAGTATTTCCGTGATGACGTATGTTTTACTTTACTTGTAAAGAAATCTAGAAGTTGCATCTATTTAAAGAATTACTTTATCATGGAGGTCAACAGATCAACAGCATAGGGGAAGCAAAATATGTGGTCCACTTATTGCCAAAGCTAGTTTCTATATCATAATCTTGGCCTGAAAAGGCATATCAAATTCTTTTAAATGATCATACAATTGATATTATACTTGAAAAAAAAAAATTATTGGTTTCTGTACAAAACAAGAATTGCCAATGTATGTATAAGTACTGCAATCAGCAACGGACTGCAAGGTGGTGTACCTATGGCAACAGTAAACAACTGTAAAGAAATTTTATTTCAGGAATCGTCAAATTTTGTTTGCTTGAGCCCACAAACCCTCTTCACACAAGTGTGCACATTTTCTAAACATTCAATTTACTTTATCATAAACAACATGACCATGTTAATACCTCTTAATTCAATGATGAAATATTCAATCAATCCACAATAAAAGGTGTATCATCTGTCTGTCAATTATTTTTATAATCATAAATGTTCAAAGTACACTTTTATATCTGTTCAATATCATTATCTCTGAGAGTGTTCAAAATAATTCATTACTTCATATATTTTCTTAAATTAAACCAGAAGTCTATGACAAGACTGTAGCTCCACAGTTTGTACTGATAACAAAGGAAGAGAAAAGCAACACTTGGACTGCAACTGCAATAAATGGAATCATTATAATAATCCATATTTCAGTTTCTTTTTGTAGGAAGAGTAGACTTATGAAAAAATTTAAACACATTTCTATTTTTGTAACCATGGCAACTTCGTTTTTGTAACCATGGTAACTCCATTCATCAAATTCTAAAACCGAAATAAACAATTATGAATCTTGGTGTTGTCTACTTGTGTGCAAATTTATATTGAAATAAGATCAAAACTGTTGGAGAAGTAGGATTTTGAAAAAAAAATGACAGAAATTTTATTTTTAGTAACCATGGCAATATCATTCATTGAAATCAAAAAGCTGTAGAAACAAATATAAATTTTAGTGTTGTTAACTTGTGTGCCAAGTTATATTGAAATCAGACCCAAACTGTAGAAGTAACTTGGTAAATGTACTTCACAGAAATTTAATTTTTTAGTTGGCAACACCATTCATTGAAATATATAAACCAATAAACAGAGTTATATAACTTGTGACCAAGTTATATTAAAATCAGAATAAATTTGTAGGATGGGGTAGCATTTTGAAAAATTTTTTACAAACATACAGGCAGATGGATGATAGACACTATACTATGAAATAAGATCTTCTGGTCTCGGACCAGTAGAGCTAAAAATTAATTCTACTTTTTAAAGAGAAAGATTGTAAAAAAAAAAAAAAGAACATTGTAAAAAAAGTGATCTTTGTTGGGATGGATATCTTTCCAGTGACTATAAAATTGTGAACAACTTTTGATATCATGAATATCAAACATAAAATGGAGAGAGAGAGAGAGAGAAAAAGTCCCAACCACCTTTACTTATGTACTTGAACCAAAATTACTTGAATCAAGTCATTTGAGTCGTTTGGAAGTTTTTTTTTTTCTGTGTCCCAATAGGCTGGAGATAATGCGTTTTGACTGTAGATGGTGCTTTTTTTTTAACACATGGAGATTATTTACATCACAAAACCCATAAAATTTTCTGAAGTAAAAAATGAGATGATAAATGACACCCCATGCAGTGTGAAAACCGACAGAACATAACAAATGACAAATCAATACCAAGAACCTGCATGTCTGCAAATAAAATAAAACAATATTTCTACCTTACACAGGACACCTCTATTTGCATCTCATTCACATATCTCCAAGTTAGGATATTTAAATGATATTTAAAAATACCTTGGCAAATTAATTTGACAAAAGAAGTAGTGATGAAACAAATCTTGTATTTATTCAGACGTAGGACGAGAAAATTAGTGAGTTATCTATATCGTGTATGGATCAATTAAGCAAACAGAGTGTCAATCTGTCGATCCCCAATGTCAGCAAACAGTTTAATACTTAGACCTTCTCTCATGCTGCCTAAAAAAAATAAGAAAACACTCCCATCATAAAATGTTGAATTTTTCATCAGTTTTACCTAAGGTTTACAAATACAGCAAGCCTAACCATTGATACAAAGCTACTGCCTCTTAGAATTAGCAGGTAACTTTTAAATAATTCAAACTTTAATTTTAATATATAGAATTGTACTTATGAATGTTATCATTTTATAAGGTAGCGGAAATTATATATATATAACATTCAAATTTTTATGTTTGATTGCATGTAGTGAAAAATAAAAAGAAAAAAAATAAACAGACTTTAAAGTATTTTCTTGATCAGGAATGGCAGGGCGTACAAACAGAACTGTGTTGAGGCTGCAGAGCTTCCCGATGGGGAGATCTAGACCAACTCCGCTACAATCACGAAATCCTGTGTCTCCCAGAAAAACTAAAGGTGTGGCCACCAAACCACAGCCAGACAACCAAAAACTGGTAGTGGACCAGCTGTGTCAGTTCCTTCTGGGTTCAACTGCCATGAGTGATAATGCTTTCCTCAACTGTCAAAATACACTGAAAAAACTTGAACAGTTGCAAGCTGATATACTTAAAGAAGTACCGTGGGTAAAAGACCTGCCTGATCAGAATTATTTTGGAGGCATAATAGGACTTCTTTTGAAGGAATATCAGAAGCAAAAAAGTGATATTAAAAATTGGGTTGCCAACTGTAGAGCAAATGAGAGGTTAATGGAATACAAAGGAAAACAAATCAAAGAACTCCAAAACAAGCATGAAATTCAGATACTGGCAAAAGATGAGGAAATACAAGGATTGGTTAAAGAGATAAGCCACCTGAAAGTGGAAAATAAAGGACTAACAGAGAACAATAACAAGCTACAGGAGCTAATTAGAAGGGAAGAAGAAGAGTGTAAGGAAAAATTGCAGAAATTTATATCTTCAGTGAATGTAAGTGAAATTGGGTCAAAGAACCAAAAAGAATCGAAACAAAGTAAAAGACCAAAATCCACCTCCTCAGTTTCGGAGTGCCCATCCTCTCCTACAGGAAACTTTTCAAGAGAAACCTCAGGGAAATCTACCAGGAGTGATTCAGACACATGTGTTTCTTCTGTAAGTTTTGCCAACAGTGGGATTTCTACAGTACCTAACTTCAGGAATATAGAACAAGAGATCAGCGATATGTCAGAGTTAAGCTTTGCTAACAGTACTCTTTCAGAACTTGGGAGATCTTGTTTACTATGTTCAAAAACATTCAACACTACACAAGTTTTTCTTTGTAACCAATGCATTGATAAATTCAAAATTAGTTGAAAATTTTAGAATTCAATTTAAAAAAATTTAAGTAATTTTAAACAATGAACTTGTCATTGAATTTATAACGTTGCATGAATGTTTTAGATGAGAAAGTGTATAGTTAATGCCTCACCTTAATTATCGCTGACAAATAAGAAACTTACATAAATACATGTATACATTTTTAATTACTGACAAAAGAGATACTCCTTCAAAGGCATTTCACAATCTCCCTTTCTTTACAATAAAAGTTAGGTACACCTTTAGACAGGCTAAGACTATGGCCCAATTAAACAACAATGTAGATCAACATGATTTCATTTCCAGCAATTATTTGTTACAAATGAAGTGCCTTAATTAAGAAAATGACTAGAAAATGAAATTTATTGCTTTGCAAGCCTAAAAATGACACAGTCTAATGCCAATGTTTGGAACAGAAAGTGTGCATGGTGAAAAATTATTCTCAACAATCACTTCATAACAGAGAATACCTACATTGGGTATGTATACTTTTTTTCATCAAAAACTAAAATAATTGATCTTTTTTTCCTTTTTAATTTTTTTTTTCATTTTATCAAAAAAAATCTTAGATATATTGTTACATAATAATAAAATTTCTATTCCTTCAACCACCAGATTGGTTCATAACTAATAAATGGAGGCTACAAAACATACAACCACTAACAAGATACAAAAGCCAAAAATCAAAAAGTCACCAAAAGGGAAAGCAAATAAAGTTAAAGGAGGAATGCCTCCTGGCAGAGAATCTACTGGACACAAACAGCTCCACAGGAGTAGAAACCAAGAAAATGGCAGCACTGAAGAATACGGTCCTATACACAAAACATTCAGCACCCAATTACATGACCTTCTGCTGGGAAAGTCAAATGATACTCTTCTAAACAAGATGGGGCATGCAATAGATCGTGGCAAAGAACTCGAGACCAGACTGAATCAGGAAATTCCAGGGGCAAAGAATGCAGAGAGTTTCTTTGACAAAGTTGATTTTACGATTTCTGAGTTTATTTCAGTGAAAGGAAAAAGCAAATTAAAACTGACAAGAAAACTGAAAGAAATGCAAGAAGAAAAGCAGAAGCTGAAAGACAATTCCGATGACTTAAGCCATTACATTGAAAATCTGAAAACCTGCACTGACCAGGAAAGCAAAAGTCATAGGAATGCCATCACATTTTACCTAGCAGAAAATAAAAAACTAAAAGAAGAAATTGAAAATCTAAATACAAGGCAAATGTTGTTAGAAAGAGAGAAAAATGAACTACAAGAGGAATGTTCCACAAGTCTGAGCAGCCTTCACAGGTTAGAAAATAAAACTATAAAACTGGCTACCAACAATAAGAAACTGAACCAGGAATTACAAGCAACAGCAACAGACAGAAAGAAACTTAAATCAAAGCACAGACAACTGGTGTTAGAAAACAAAGACTTGCATCATGAAAATGAGACGCTGAAAAAAAGGCTTGAGAACAATCCTTTAATTTGCGATTTAAATGCAGGTCAACATGATTGCAGAAAATGTATGTCTTCAGGGAATGAACAAGATTTTGTTAGAGACTGTGGAAGACTGTCATCTGCTAACACAGACTGTTCAGAAATAAGTTTTGCCAACAGTTCATGTGCTGAAATTTAAAGATAGAATTTTTGTTTTGATTTCTTTTTATCTAATAAAAAAAAAACCTTTTGAAAATTGATAGTCGAAGAGGGATAGTTTACGATATTTTTATCTTAAAAATTTTTTTTTCTCTGTTGACATTGAAAAAAAACTGTTGACAATCATTCCACATATTTATGGAGCATTGCAATACACAGGTGGAAAACACCTGTTTTAAACGAGATAGCTATCTCAAAAGGCATCACTGATGAATAATTAATTAATGTGGGAACATTTTTTATCTATTTAACACAGTTAAAGGTCTAGTGAACAGATATTGGAGTTGTGCATGAATTGAAACACCACATAAAGCAACCGGATTTACCACATTAACCACTAACACAGATTTATGGATAATGACAAAGAAATTTGTGAACGCAAAATGTGAATTCATGAATGGTCATTTTTTCTTTTAAGAATATTCAAGGACATTTTGTATAAAAAAAAAAATATGCCAGAACCACCAAAACGAAGCAATTCCA